TCTGCCACCTAATTAAAAGCATGCTAAAAACCAACCTTTGACATGAGTCCTTCTCATGCTGGTGGAAACTGTACTCCCTCCTTCCCTCCACGCCGGCTCTACCTGCCTCACTTGTCCCACTGTGTACAGAAATCAGCCACCCTGGGCCAGAGGTACCCCTTCCACACCCGTTCTCCACACCCAGGGGTTGTGCATGAATTGTGGACGATCCTGCCATAGCCACTGGCGCAGGTGACGAGGTACATTTAAATCTAACAATTAAAATTAAAATTAAAAACCCAGGCCCTCAGATGTGGTGGCCTATTTTAAATGCTCAGAAGCGACAGGTGGTGGTGGCAGCCGCCATATTGGATGTGGACCATTTCTGCCATCATGGAAAGTGCCACTGGACAGCGCTGGGCTAAGACCAGCCATCCTGGGAGGGCCTCCTCCCTCCCTCAGGGAGCCAGCAGGGCCCTCGCCTGTTCCCTGTCACCTTTCACTCAGACGTCTGATCCTGTCCCAGTTACTCCCATCCAGGCAGCTTCCTTCTTTAGAATCTCCTTAAAACTCTTTCCATTTTATAACCACAGGAAGATGTATTTCTCTGAGACCCTAACTCTGAATCTTCCTGTCTCTCTACTCCTCTTTTTCCCTCTCCTCCACTCCTTTCCCACCTATACAAAAATAGATTTCCCACAAAGTTCTTCTACCTACCCAGTTTGTCTCTTGAAACAAATGATCAGAGCCTTAACGCCCCATGGGACAACAGTAAAATCACTAATGGATTCATAACTAGAGTCCCAGAAGGAGAGGAGGGAAGAATGAGGCAAGAAATAATGACCAAGAACTTGGTAGTTTAGTAAAAGTCATAACATATAGATTCAAGAAGCTCAGTGAACCTCAAACAAGATAAACTCAAAGAAAGCATACTTTGAGACATAATAAACACAGAACCCCCAGCATCAAACTGCTGAAAACCAAAGGTAAAGTGAAGATGTATAAGCACCCAGGAGGAGATGCCACTTTACACACAGGGGAACAGCGGTTTGAGTGACCACAGATTTTTAAAATCAAAACTCATGGATGTCAGAAGATGATGGAAAAACATCTTCAAAGTGCTGAAAGGAAACAAACAAACAAAAAAAGCCAACTGGCAGGCCATGACGCTATATCCAGTGGAAATATTCTTTAAGAATGGAGGCAAAATGAAGATGTTTGCAGATGGAAGAAGACTACAGAATCAGACTTGCTGTAGGTGATTCAGGAAGTTGTTCAGGGTGAAGGGAAGTTACATGGAAGGGAAACTTGTATCTTCAGAAATGAAGACAGAGCAATAAAACTGGAAAATATCTGGGGAAATACAAAAGTCTATTTTTCTTCTTAAGTTCTTTAAAATATACATGATTGTTTAAAACAAAAATTATAATACTGTTTTGTTGGTTTTTCAATGTGTGTGGAAATAATATACATGGCAACTGTAAGAGAAAGGGATTTCTAGGGAGAAGGGGCTGGTATAAGTATATGGTTTTTATATTTTAGGGGAAATGGTACAATATTAACTCCAATGAGAATACGAAAGACTACTGATGTATATTATATCCATAGAGCAACCACTAAAACATAAAATAAGATATAGTTAAAAAGCTAGTTGAAATTGAATACTGAAAATACTCTTAATTTTTTAAAAAGTAGGTAAAGGCGAATAGAATAAGAAAAAACAGTGGAGACAGTAAACAAATAAGATGGTAGGCCTAAATCTAACCACATGAATAATTACATTAAATACTAATGGTCTAAATACATCAATTAAAATGCAGAGATATGGGGAGGGTGTGGCTCAGTGGTAGAGTGCATGCCTAGCATGCATTAGTTCCTGAGTTCCATCCCCAGCACCTCCATTAAGGAATAAATAAATAAATAAACCTAATTACCTCCCCCCAACAAAACATAAATAAATTTTAAAAATTTTTAATAAAATAAGTAGAATGCAGAGATGGTCAGAAAGGATAAAAAAGATGTGTAAATAGGTTTCTAGGTTGGTCCCCAAGACTCTCACCCCTCCCTTTGAATGTCAGCATGAACTTGAGTGTGAACGTGATGAGATGGGTAGACTGGGCAATGCCCTAAGGCACAGCTGGCTTTCAGATATGCCCTGTGGATCTGTCAGATGAGACCTGAAAAAGAGACCAGGCTTTTCCTGAAGGAGATTGGAAGGGTGAGGGGGATTTGCCACGAGATTCTCCGTCACTGGCTTGCAGATGGAAGAGGCCATGTGGAAAGGGATGTGGGTGGCCTCCAGAAACTGAGAGTGGACTCTGTCTGAGCCAGCAGGGAAACAGGGACCTCAGTCCTCAGCTGCAAGGAACTAAGTTCTACCGCAGCTCCAAGCTCTGGATAGAGCGCTGGCTGACACTTTGATTTTAGCCTCGAGAGTCCCTGAGCAGAGAAGCCAGCCACACCAGGACTTCTGACGCACAGAACCATGAGCTAACGGACATGTGCTGTCAGGCTGCGAAGTCTAGTATTTGCAGCAATAAAAATACTAACACAAGCTACTTTACAATATCTATAAGAGACACATTTTAGATATAATGACACAGATAAGTAGAAAGTAAGTGGACAGGAAAAAATATACCATGCAAACAGCAAACCTAAGAAGGATATGAGATAAAGTGGACCTTAATATAAAGGAATGTTACCAGAGATAAAGAAGGATATTTCATAATCATTATTAGCACTGTGCAGGAGGCAGAGATAACGGTTATAAATGGTTCACATTCTTAACACAGAGTCTCAAAAAGGAGCAAAAATTTAAAAAATTACAGGGAGAAATAGAAAATTCCACAATAATAGAAAGAGATTTTAATATCCCTCTCTTGGTGATGGATAGAATTAGACAAAACAGTGTCGGTGAAGACATGGACGATTCAGACATAACCATCAGCCCCAGCGAGCTGACAGGTAACACAGAACACTACACCCGGGAGCCGCAAACTCCGCGTTCCTTCCATGTTCACAGTGATAATCCATTGGCCTGGACATAACACAAGTCTCAGTAAATCTTCAAAGATTGAAATCACAAAGCATATGTCTCTGATCACAATGGCATTAAATCAGAAATCAATAAAAACATGATATCTGAGGACAACATGTTTCCGGATAATCTAAGGGTCAAAGAAGAAATCACAAGGGAGACTGGAAAACATTTTGAACCAAATGATAATGAAAATTTAACATGTTAAACACACGGGATGCAGCCAAACAGAAGAAACCGCAGAGCTTTCAATGCTTGTATAAATAATGACCTAAGGTTCTGCCTTAAGGAACTAGAAAAAGAAAGGCGAAGCAAATCCAAGACGAACAGAAAGAAGGAAATGATTATTAAGAGCAGAAGTCAATGAGAGAGGAAACCGACAGACAACAGAGAGAATTAGCAAATTCAAAAGCTGGATCTTTGGGGAAAAAAAAATCAATGAAATTGACAACTGTCTAGCTAGACAGAGAACTTCAGACCGTCCTATGCGTCGTCTTAGCTCGTGGCGGCTGCCAGCGGCCCCTGCAGCGCGTCGCCCCAGCTCTGCCTCCGTCAGCAGGTGGCCTCCTCCCTCTCGGGCCTCCTCTGGGCCATTAAATCCTTCTCTCTGTGTAAGGGCGCCAGTCCTTAGACTTAGGGTCCACCCCCTCCAGGATGACCTTCTCTTGACCCGATCACAACTGCAGAGACCCTGCTTCCAAACGGCGTTACATTCACAGGCGCTGGTGATCAGGACCACGTCTCTGCCGGCACGGATTCAAGCCGCAACACCAAGACCACAGTCAAGATAATGAATATGTTCACCCCGTCAAAGGTCTCCCGGTGCCCTGACAGAGGCACTGCCCAGAGCCAACGGTCGGGGGGATAAACACCCTGACATCTCTCTTCCTGCAATTTCCAACCTCCTACCGGCACCTACTGTCGGCGGAGCATAGTTAACGTGTCAGAGAGCAATGGGGCCGGAAGTGTCATCTGCAGGGGCCGCTCCCGTGGGGCAGAGCTGAGCGGGAAGCAAGAGGTGGGACCTGGCAGCAGACAGGCCGGGGTCTGACTCAAGGCTTCCGGGGGACATTCGGGCAGGAAAGTGTGTTGGATCAAAGCACATGAGGGTATCTGTCTGCAAGGTGTCCTTGCCGTGACTCCAGGTCTGACCTGAGCACTAAGCTGCAGGCCAGCGGGGGCGGCTGGAGAACCTGTATTCAATGGGAAATGGAGGGAGGGGGTTCTTACACCTCTGCTTCCTAAACAGGGCACGTGCTCGCCTCCAGAGGTTCCCCGGGATAAACCTAGCACACATATCCCAGGATCATTTTGGGGGGAAATTTTGGTGAAAAGATTTTGATTTCACTGCCATCTCCCTCCCACTTAGGACAGGGCCTGAGACGTAGCAGGTGTTGGATAAATATTTGTGGAACGGAGGGTGAAGTGAGCACACTGAAGGGCAGGGCGTAAAGCCATCATCCATGGGTGATCGGGGCAGGATGAGGTCCTGCCTAGACTCGAGGGGATGAGGGTCACCGTCACCCACCCCGAGGGGCATGTGGGCGAGAAGCCCCGACGCAGGCTGACCGGCCCCTACTCCCAGGTGAGGGTTCAGAGGACCCCCCCATCCTCCCCCCGCCGCCGGATTCTGCTGGCTTCTCCAGCCCCTCCGCCCACGCCCGCCCCGCCCCCCACTCCAGTGCTCGCACTGACCTCCGCCCCCTCCCGGGAGGGGCCTCCGGCTTCCCCATCGCGGGGACTGGCCCCTCCCCCGCCCCGGGCCTCTGCTAATCTGAACGGGCGCCGCTGTGTATTCTGGGTGCGAGCTGAGCTGTCACACGCCCCAGCGCACAGCGCTCTCTCTATGCGTATCTTCCAAGTCTCTACCCCACAGGGAAAGACCCACCACTGCTGTTTCCAGAAGCTTAGGAGGTGGAGAGCGCAGACTCTGCGGTCTTGCTGGCCTGGGTGGGGAGCTCAGTACACTGCTGGCGGGGGGACGCGGTGTTCTCATCTGTACAGTGGGGACGCTTCCCTTTACAGAGCTGTTGTGAGGAGGGACAGAACGCCCTGCGAGCACGCAGCAAGGGGCCTGGGACAAGGAAGCTCTGAGCCAGTGCTGGCGCCCTCAAATCCTGGCAGCCCCTCCATGAAGAGCGGGGTCCCCTCCCTTTGAGCCTTAGTGACCTGCCGCTAAGTCACAGGGGTGGTAGATGTGATCTGCTTGACTCCGAAGGCTAGGTCGTGGAAGGAGCTACGGCGTGTCCCTCCCTCTCTCTGTGTGTCTCTGGGTCTCTCTCTTCCACTTGCTCTTGGAACCAACTATGCTGAAAGGCAGCTCGGTCCCATAAAGAGATCATTTATAAGTGTTCGGGGCAAAATCTCAGCTGAAGTTCCCCTAGCGTCAACGGCCGGACGAGCAGGTGAGCACGCCTTCTCGATGCTTCCGGTCCCGCCCCCCGTGTGACGCCAACCACATGAGAGACCTCCAGGGGGAGCTGCCCACTGGGCCCGGTCAAACCCCAGGACCACGAGAGATACTAACGAATGATGGTTGTCTTTCCGTGCCACTAAGTTTGGGTGGCTCATTATTTAGCAATAGAAAATCTGAACATTTAGGGAGCAAACCCTGTAACTACACCCAGAGGCGAACCAGATGCGACCTGTCTTCAAGAGGGTCTCAGTCCAGGTGGGAAGTGGCAAGTGCTAAGCCTGGAAATTGAAGTTGAGAGCAGAGAGCATGGGGTGGGGCCTTGAATGCCAAGCCAAGGCACTTGGGTTTTATGATGGAAAGGGCAGAGAAGCCTTGGGACAGTCTGAGCAGGTCTCAGAAAGCTGTTCTGCAGGAAGATATGAGACAGGAAGGAAGCGGGCAGGGCACCGCTATTGAAGGAAGGGCACAGCAGTTAACAGCAGGAAAGCGGAGATTCAACTCCCCGGAGGCCTTGAGGCCCAAGATGGCGGGAGGTTTGACTTCCAGTGGACCCTGAGCTTCATTACATGCTGACTGTAATACATTAGCATGGTGAGTGGCGCTCCCACGGGCGCCACGACAGTCCTGAGGCTGACCATAAGAGGTCAGCAAGCAGGTGACAGCCCAGCTCCTAGGAATCCCAGCCCCTCCCCCAAAGTAGCTGGACTAGCCCTCCCGCTTGTTACCGAGCCCATAAAAACCAACAGCCCCCGCACCTCGCGGCCGCCCTCCCTTCTGAGATGACCTGCACTTGGTCTAAGGAGTGTGGACCTGCTTTTACTTTAAACTAAGCACCCCCCGCACACCTCTGTGGCCTTTCTCTTGCCTTCGGCAACAGCCTGCTCTCTGCCTATGGACTATGTATCTCTCTCAATAAATCTACCTTTTCTCAAATGAAAAAACAAACCCTGTAACTATAAATGCACCGCCCACCGCCTTCCAGATCCCACGTCCCAGGAAGGTGGCGGCTCTCGCAGGTGGTGAGTGAGGTTTGGGGGGACCCACTTACTGAGCAGGGGAGCGTGAAGGGCTTGGTGGGCGTGGTGAAGCTGGCGCTGCGGATGGGGTCAGGGTCCTGGCCGTCGTTCCACTGAGCCAGGAGCGCGTCCCGGTACACAGTCACCCCCGCTGCCCTGAGCGCGTCCTCCACCGCGCTTTCCACTGAGTAGTTGTTGATGCAGGTGATGGTGGAGGTGGGTGGGTGCTGCACCAGGTGGATGTGGGAGCCCCGCACGCCGACGCTCAGGAGCACCTCCACCGTCGTGTACGTGTCAATTGTGTTCCCGTAGACAATGACATGCCCTAGAACGGGGGGTGACATGCTAAGATACGTAGTTAAAAAAAAAACCCAACAACCTTATTAGTCAAAGGCTCATAATGCTGAATTGCTCCCTGTAACCCTCTCATTTTTTTTCAGCTGCGGGAAGCCAGCGGTGTTTCCTAGCAACGGCGACCAAGATGATTTCCTAAAGAATTGGCACAAAACATCCCACAAAGTAGTCAAGTACTTTTAACACAGAAGTAGGCCATTCATTTATGTTCCTGTAATTTGAAAGTTGAAATTATGCTAAATGAAACTGTCTAGAATAAAAACCCTTTATCTTGTTTTTGTTCCCTGTTTGCTATACTCATTAAGGAAAAAGTAATTGCAAAAGTTTGCAATAAATACGAGTTCTTTCTAAGGGATGAAAAGGACGGCAGTAAGAAAAAAATTATTCCTGTAGGTGATGGTACAGATATTTTAATACGTAATTGTTAAGTCCTGTCGACTTCAAGGGAAGTTTGCCCTTTTTTTGAGAACTAAAGACTTGTACATTCTGCTTGTAACAGACAATTTTATAAAGATTCAAATTCTGATTTTTGGGATATAAATTGTCAACACCTAACAAAGGAGACTGCAGGGTGTCCTTTTGGTAAGTAAAAATAAAAAAATCACAAAATAATCTTGAAAGATTTCCTCTGTGTAAGAGCATTTTGATGGTAACACTCTATGCCATTTATTTATATCTCTTAGAAATACTACAGAAGAAGTGAGATGCGCTCTTGTACAAATTATATAAGCTTAAAAACCACTGATCCTATTAAAATGAGGGAGATGTGCCATATGATATTTTTGACATTGAATTGGCATTATTACCTTTTCACTAGAAAAGAAACGTGTAGACTCACGTTTCAGGCAAGCCGTAACAATTTTACCGCAAAATGATGGATTTGTGAATCTCTCTCTTTTCTCCTTTTATGAAACGGTATGAAAATGAATTTTGCAAGACAAAATAAATGGCAACTGTATTTATTCAACTGGGTGGAATAAATTATGCAAAAATTTCTTTCTATCCAAAACTGAAAGGAAGTATAATGGCTCATCTTATTTGCTTAGAAGAAAAGGAACCAGAATAGCTTTCAGGTTGCTTCCCTGAGGGCGAGAGCATCCAGGAAGTGCTCCCATACTTCCTGGGGCTCAGACCTGGGATGCCAGGCCCCTCCTTCCTGCCTTGGCTAGGACGCCCCAGTTTTGTGGCAGGGGTGCCGCTCTGTTCAGATGCTGCTGTCAGCATCCCTTGGTGAGCTGCGTTCTCCTTTGGCTGAAAGAGCCAACATTTTGCTTAAATTATTGAAGCTCCCACCTGCTGTGAAGTGTGACTCTTGGCTGGCTGATGCAGCAAAGAGCCAGCCTCCACGAGCGTCAACACGTGAACCTAAAACTGTCCAAGGTGTGAGTTCTTCTGCCTCTTTAAAATATGCACGCAAAAACAGTATTCATTTCCAGTGACACAGATCTAAGCACTGAGGCCCCATGCAACTCGGAGTTTAATATTCTTCCAGTCCCCTTCATGTGAGTGTTTCACAACTGCCCTGTGAGATGGGCACTTCCACTGTGGGCTCATGGAAGCCCAGGCACTGCGGTGCCACTGCGGTTTGGAGAGCCACAGACTGCAGGCAGCTAGGGAGGAGGATGCGTTCAATTCAAAAGGTAACATATTTCATAAAACCTCTGATATCTAAATTAGACGTTTACTTACAGGTATGCTAACTTCTAAATAGTTTTGTCTGTCTTTAAGTTTAATTGGAAACAACTCCCACCTCCCAAATGTGTAACTGTCAGCTGTTGTCACGATAATGCTGCATAACAAAATACCCCAAAACAATGCCAGACAGCATACGCCTGTGCACGTGGGCTCACACATCTGTGGGTGGGCTGATACTTGCTGATCTGGTCCAAGCTGTGGTTAGGGTCAGGCCTGCACCATATGTCTCGAATCCTCTGTGGACCAACTGATACCTGAGGCATATTCTATCCAGGGGGCCATGCAGGAGCAGGAGGATGCCACTGCTCAGGCAGCCTTCAAGCCTCTCCTTGAAGACATGACATCCACTAACCAAATCCACTAACCATTAACCAAAGCAAGTCCCGCAGCCACGCCCACACCCAGGCAGGGTGAGCACACTGCCCACAGTGGAGGGGAGGGGTATGGATATTTGCTGAACAAAAGTCCAAAGTTACAGTGATCCTGGGCACATAGCAAATAAATGCCTATGTGATGTCATGAAACTTTTCCCCCTAAACATGTTTTAGATGATTATTTACTTACATTCTCTCGTTACCCACAAAACACAGAAGAATTTTGGGATAGCTTTTTTACTACATAAATAACAACACATCACAGGTCAAAACACATCCCTACACAAGCCTGATGCAACAGAGTCAGCCTGTTACTCTTTGCCAGTGCGATCCCTTTTCTCTCAAACGTTTCCACTCTGTGTGGGGCCATCACATTGTGACAGTTGGCTGGATCTGGGGCTGAATCAAGGAGGAAGAGGGAAAGGAAAGGAAATAGAGAAAGAAAGGGAGGGCAGAGAGAGAACTGACAGGGCCTCAGAGAGACGGATCTCCTTCAATCGCTGGCTCAGAGCGAGAAGAAAGAGTTTAAAAGTAGGTGAATAAAGATGAATCAGAATCATCAGGGGCATGGTCCAGGCACATGCATTTTCATAAGTAACCCAAATAAATCTTGGACACGTGGGGGGAAAAAAACAGGTGAATAAGTTCATTTGTCTCATTTACTTTTTTTTAGGTTCCACCCACACATGATAGCAAAGCGTATTTGTCTTCCTCTGTCTGACTTACTTTACTTCGTATGATCATCTCTGGGTCCATCAGTGTTAATGAAAAAAAAAAAGTAGGTGAAAGACAGTGGTTGCGGGGTGAGGGCGGGGGTGGGTGAAGTGGGCCGTGAACAGCAACCGGGCAAAGGGCTCGGTACAGGCGGCGCTGGGCCTGACAGTGTGTCCCAGCCCAGGTGGACCAGACTGGTGGCTGGGGTCCGCCCGGCGCAGAGCGTCCTAACGGCTGTCGGGGTGGGGGTGGGGCGGGGGTGAGGGCGGCCCCAGGGTCTGTGGGACCCATGGCATCTGTTCACCCACAGCAGGTTTTAAGAGGTCAGACAATGTCAGTTCATTAAAGATTAATTAGTCGATGCATTTCCACCACTTAGGTGCTTTGTACCTCTCGGAGTCTTTGCAAATATTCAGAAGGAGGTGACACACTGCAGGGGCGTCCTTCATCTTCCTGAGGTGTCGTCTGCACTCTTTGGAAGCTTCCATGAATAGATGGAGGAAATAGGGTGGAAAAGCTGAAGCTTTTCCCTGGATGTTGGTTTTCTGTTCAAAGATCTGGTCACTGTCTTCTCTGCAGCTCAGTTTATTTAATGAATAAGAAACAACCAGTTTTGGGGGGGAGAGGGTGGGAAGGGAACGAGCTCAGTGGTAGAGGGCGTGCTCAGCATGCACGAGGTCCTTGGTTCAACCCTCAGTACCTCCGCTAAAAAACAGAAAGAAAGAAATGAGTTTCTGCACTTGATCTGAGCGGTGACAGGGGAAAGCATGGGCTGCCCTACTTTGAAATGGCAAATGAGAACTGATGATGAGAACAGTCTGGGTGCATTTTCACAAAAGGGATAATGGAATCTAACCATGGCAGTTTGCATGGGAAGCCAATCTTTGTTGCTCCTCCTAGGGAATAAATTATGCATTACTGAGACTGCAGATCTGAATCGGGAAGCAGAGTGCAAGGAGGGCAGGTTAAAAAGAGGACCGTGTGAAAGCTCCCGGAATTGAAGTTGGCAGGAAGAGCACCCAGGCATTCTCTCACGTGAACCTGCAGCAACCTTGGAGGCGAGGTGTGCAAGGGCGCCTCCAAGAGGGAAGAGGGGCTTCGTGGCGACAGCCCAGCTGGGGAGGAAGAGGGGACCGGATGATTCATAGCACCACCTCTCGAGCTGGCAAGTCTCCACCTCAGGCTGCAAAAGCACTGAGACCTGCCGCTGGAACATCGGCATAAAGGTGACGGTGGTGCTTTTGCTCTCTGCCACCTGCTCGCTGAAGGTGCGGGTGATTACACCATTCACACCAGCGACTCGGACTGCGGGACCGCCAAAAGGAGGCAAGCACACGAGAGGTAGAGATGAAGGGTTCTCCAGGAAGAAAAGCATCAACTGAAAAGACGAGACGAGAAGGGTTTCCTGGTCTGCTATTCTGGGCAGGAAATCACATCTCAAGAGGATAAGAAATAAACTTAGGATTTATGTACACAGATATTAATAAGAGTTTTTCTTCATTGTCACTATATTTTTAAGAACAGAGAAAACAAGAATTATATACTACATTTTGTAATTTATGTATTTTAAATTATTTCTAAGTATGTATATTTACATATTCCATTGTACTTTAGTGAAGAATTATATTTCCTTTTCCACTTCAAAAGAAACAGTGATTATGTATGATCAGAACAGGAATATGAGACAAGTTTCATTATGCTCAAATTGAGGACAGAGAGGTTATGTAATGAGCTTCAGGTCACACAGTAGAGGATGGTTCAGCAGAATCAGACCTGCCCACTCTGATCTCAGAACCAGTGTGCACACCACTACACTATATTTGCAGATGAATGAACATGTTCCCTTAAAAAAAAACCCTCTAATTGGCATTTTATCTGGATAATTAACTTTAGCAAATAACCACATAATGAAAGGATTTTAAATAGATATCACAGAATAGTAATAAATAGTGAAATAATCACTCACTTAAAAACATATTATGTCCAAGAATAGACCAGCAAATACTCTTTTTATTTTTTTAGAAGTCAGAGCATAAGATTTCTATGACCCAAACCTGACCTGTCCATTTTGCTCTACCAAATAAAAAGGGAGAATGTATTAGATATAGCAGGACAAAGACTTTGTTCAGTGACTCACGCACCAGAATTTTCATGTTATACTTTTCTTACAAACATATTTTAACAAGGCAGTAAACTGTATTTAGCTAAAGATGAAAACGATTGCTCCATTTGGGGCCATTAAGGCAGTGTTTTTCACTTTCACCCTACTTTTCATTTTCATGGCAGGTACGGAGGTACTAGCAGATGCATTTCAATCAGTTTCAGTTAATGCCGAAAACCGTCATGATGTTAGTAGGGGTCTATGTGAAGTCCCATCTCAACCCTCCAGGTTTTGCTTGCAGTTGGAAGCCAGTGACGTCAGCTGGGCTCCAGGGTACTGGAGTGGTCCTCATGGTTTAGGACAATTTACATCTACAAACCCCTCCAACTCCAGAGCCCCTGAAACAATTTCCTTCAGACTGGATGAATTCCATCACAGAAGAACTGTCTCCCCTTTGGGAGCAGAGGAAGGCACGACAGAATAGAGACCGTGGCGGGGAGTGGTGGCACTCTCCCCGCAGGTCCCTGCGCGTTCTCCAGGGGCAGAAATTCAGAGGACAGCCAACCGCCTCCTAGTGACCGCCCATGGTTTCTGCTAACCAGCATCTGTCTGTCCTTCTAGAACAATCCCTCCACTGTCCTCAGCAAACAAGCCCCTCCTCTCAAGTCCCTGTGCTTCAAAGTTAGGCTTGGAGCTTCCCAGGGTTTGGGGTGTGATTCCCACCAGATGGACGGGAAAGGACATTCCACCCAGTCACAGCCAGTGAGACACTGGGGATTTTTTTCTCAGACTCTGGGAGAAGGGCTCTGCCCTCAGCTCCCTCCCGCTAACCCCACCCTGAACTATCGAGAAAAAGGAACATTAGCCCTGAGGGAGCAAAAGCTGACTGTCAAGAGAAATGCCCGCCTTCCTTCTGGAGTAATTAGGAAGGAGGGCTGACAGGCGGAGCGGTGATGATGGATGTGAGGACAGAGCCCTGCTCCTCGTTTTCATCAAGTGCCTACTTCTGGTTTCCAGCTTCAGACACCATCAGCCCATAAGGGACCCGGATGTCAGCTAGACAGCTGCGCCGGCAGGACCACCGAATGGATCAAAGGTGGCTCCTCCCAGCGCTGCACTGCGTACGCGGCTGCCCCGCCTCCACTGGCCACTGCCGTCTCCCTAATCCGCCCTTACCAATGCCTTTCTCTCTACCGCCATGGGTGCCACAGGTGAGGAGGTCTACCTTCATCCAGGGCTGTCTAATGCAAGCCTCGCCCCCTGCTCCCCATCCTCTAAAAGGTCACGCGCTGAACCTGGTCTGAGGTCCTCCACCGCCTCTCCCACTACTGCCCTTCAGAGTCTGCCTGGCCCAAGGTGACAGGTCATTGTCTTTGGATACAAATCAAACTCCCTCAACCTCCTCTTAAAGGCTGAACGCAAACCCTCCCTTCTTGGGGAAGCCTTCTCCAAACTCTGCAGCCTCCAAGGCTCCTGCTCAGGCCACAGTGCCTCTCTGCAACCAGACTGGTACCTGGTGTGCACAGATCCCCGTGCACCATCCCCAGGATGGCAGGGGCTGAGGCCAACAGTCTGGCGAACCTCCCGTGCACAGCAACAACACATGTGGCAGCAGAAGCAACCATGAGTACAACCACAGCCTACGCGTATGAGATGCTGTCTGTCCTGAACTGGATGTGTAAAACCTTATTTAATCCTCACAGCAACCCACAAGAGGGAAATATCTGGACTGGGACTAATTAAATTCGAGTCTGAACATGACTCTAATGATGAAAAAGCTACACAGGAAAAGAGCTTCCACAAGGCAGGAAGTTAACGTTTTTCTTCCCAGTTTTCCTTACATGACAAGTCATTGAAAAGGGCCACTACCCTGAGTGGAATTAACTTGGCTGAGTCACTTTCTCAGATGCCTCCAGCACCTGTGTGTTTAGACCACCTACCTGGGAGGTGCCCTGAGGTGTCATTAAGCATTGGACCCAGTGAAAACAGCCTACATTTAAGACAAGAAACTAATTTCTACAGACTTCTTCCCCTGGCTGTTCAGTGCACAAAGGCAGGCACGCAGGGGTTTTGTGCAATGGCTAATGCAAGACATTCTTAACTCTTGCAAAAGCGTTTCCCTTTAAGTGGACACCAGACCACCACTAGCTTTGACGACCAGTCAAAGCAACAAATAACACTAACGCTCTTCCCCATCCGAAAACCAAGAGCCTCTTGCTTTGGGATTTCTAAATTCTCTGCCATGAACATTCAACCTTAAGAACTTGCATTGCCACTTTCAAAGGCCCTTTTCTTGGTCAAAATGGTCCTTAATCCTAACATTCAAAACAGCCAACATTCCGATTAAAACACTGCATTGTAACAGGACTGGACACAGTCTTAGGACACGATGTCTACGTTGTATTGAACTGTTCATTGGCGTTTGTGCTTTCAGCGAGTTTAAGTTACATTTTGAAGTCTGGACTTGATGAAATGGTAATGATTGGTCACTAATTGTATGGATAAAAGCAGAGTTCTGCAGACAGGGACTCATCCCCTATTTTTATAAATAAAGTTTTATTGGAACACAGCCATTTCTGTTCATTGACATTCTGTCTGGGGCTACCTTCTTGCTAGAACAGCAGAGCTGGGTAGTCAGGACAGAGACCACATGGCCTGCCAAGTCTATCTGGCCCTTTATGGAAAAAGTCTGCTGAGCCCCAGATCAGAGAATTCCCTAAATGTACTTAGGTCATAGGGCAGTGGTTAAAGAATGACTAAAATGTTGAAACAGGTTTAAACACACACAGATGCAAAACTGAAAATAATACCAAGTTATAATGCAAATATTAAAATTCTTTGACAAGTTTTCAATCTGCATTTCTGACATGTATCTACACATCCAACATCTGCCCAAAAGTTCCAGGCCCAGCTGGTTTTATGGGTGATTTCTGTCCAACTTCTAGGTTACACAAAGTATTTCTGACCCCAGAAAAATATGGAAAGCTTCCCCAAAACCCTTTGTGAGGCTAGCACTCCCTTGATTGCAAAACCTTGACAAGTCAAGCATAAAAGAGAAAACAGGCCAATCTCACTTGTGAATTTAGATGCAAACTGCCTACAAGTATTAACAAATTGAATTCAGCAATGTATTGAATGTCCTTTGATAAGTAGTTTTGATTTTTAATGAAGCAAATGTAGGAACTTGACAAAAAGTTAACTCATGCCTAAATCATCCACCAAAAAAATCAGAAGGAATGTATTTAATTTTAATAGATTAATTATAGTAAGTAATGTAATTAAATTATATTTAAATAAACACATTAAATAAAGTGATACATTAATTTTATATATCGGTCCCCACACTCCAGACACTTAGTGATCCTGGACTGAACTGAAGGTCTGGGTCAGAAGCCCAGCCCAGAACAGGGGGTCACATAACCCAACCAAGTTGCTGATCCTGTCTGCACTTTCGATAAAAGAAAGGGGCTGCAGTGAGTCTCATCTCAAAAACTCAACTCCCAAGTTTCAGTGAACACAAACAGGCAGCCAGGCCCTGTTCTGGTTATTTTACTGGTCAAATAATTTCCGCTAATCCCAGCAATAGAGAGGAAGATGCTGGAGAAAGCACTTTTGAGTGGCAGAGGCACTTACTTGCTCAAATGTTTCACTCTCTCACTTGGATTCAGAGAGCGGCATGGAACCCGGATACGTGCGTTTGTGGGAAGGACTGAGCTGGCACAGCGAGGGGAACAATGGATGCTGAAAGAAAAGAGCCCTTCCGACTCAGACCTTTCTTTTTCTTCCTAGGTCTTTTCAAAAGCTCCACAAAAGGAGGCATATTTTCCATATAATTGCTAAACATGTTTGCTTATTAAATTATTCTTTAATTAGTTAATGATTTTAGCCATGCTTTGCTCTTCAGATATTCATTTTGTGTAATAAAATAATTATAGATAATTAAACTATCTCAAGCTTTTTTCTTTCCCCCAGCAAACATGCTGGGTATCCAAAAATGACAACAAGTTGTAAATTAATCTGGAAAACAAAGCATGACAGATGAATGATTTGGTTAGAATTAATTAGGCACTAATTATATACTGGAACTAGACAAAGAATGAGACTCATTATAAGAATAAAACACGGTTCTGAAAAGATGCACAGTTACCAGCATCCTTACCTTCTGTGGTGATGGAGTTGTTCCTTATCCAAGTCAGGGCCCTTAAGCAATCTTCTTCGTCGTTGAGGGTGAAATGATTGCGGGGAACTGGACCGGTGTACCTCCGCCTACTGCTGTCCAGAACCTCTCTGTTCGTTGGGTGTTGGCTAATATCAGCCCCTGTAGGGCATGGGACCTGAGGTGTGTTACAGAGCAACACTTATTTCAGAGGTAACAGGTAAGCACTTACACAGCAATAAATCAAGTGATAAAAATAAACATAGCAATGCCCCGGTACTGGTGTGCTTTTTCCTGTCTCCAGATATAATCAGGTCTTCACTGAAAAAAACCAAATGGGTGGAATGACCACTCGGAGTCAATTCTCAGAAGGCACTGGCCCTGGTCATCTAATGCTGCATAACAAATGATTCCAAAGCTCAGTGGTGCAAACCACTGTTCAACAGGCTCAATGTCTGTACATGCAGGACTGGGGACAGTGTGCTGCACGCCAGAAATCGACACATTGTGACTGACTGTACTTCAATTTAAAAAACAAAACAAAACAAACAGGCTCAGAGATTCCATAGGTCAGCAATTCAGACAGGGCAAGGTGGGGCAAGTTTGTCTCTGTTTCACGATGTGGGAGGCCTCAGTTGGGAAGACTTGAAGGCTGGGGGTGACTTGATGGCTGGGGGCTGGAATCTCCTGGAGATAAACTCTCAATCCTTTTTCCTTCCCCAAGAAAACATGCTGGGTATCTTTTTTAAATGTGAAGCCATCACTATAGGTCTAGCGGATGTCGCTGGCCAGAATACCACATGTGGCCTCCCCATGGGACTTGAGCTTCCTCACAACACAGTGGCTGGGCTCCCAGGCATGCGTCCTTAGAGGGGGCAGAAGTCCAGAGAGCGCCACATTCTTCTCTAACTTAGCCTTGGAAGCCCAGCAGAGCCTCTCCTGCCATATTCTATTCACGGAGGTCACCCTAGAGGCCTGCCTGGAGTCAAGGAGATGGAACCCAGAATCCACCTGTCGTGCAGGAGTGGTGAGATCATGGAAGAGCACGTGGAACTGGATTGGATGTGGCCAGTTTGGGTAAAAACCATGTGTACAGAAGCAATTACACCAGGGGGTGAAATTCAAGTGTATACAGGGCTCAGGAAGAAAAGAAAGTGGGCTACTATTTACTCGTGAAAATTCCAGCATTATTCTCCCCTTTGTCAAAGAACGTTCTTTCTCTCAACACAGAGCCCTTCCACTGCTCCCACACTTTTGACGCAGACGGGAGCGCAGGCAGAAACCGTCCTCCGCTAGGGAGGCGGCCGTGCAAGCACGATGAAGGATGAGGCCGACGCCCGTCCTGGTTGCCAGGGAGACCGCGGCTACCGGGAGGGCCGGCCTGGCCAGAGCGCTCCGCCGTGACTCCACTCCATCCAGTTGTCGCCAGGGTGGAGCGTGGGTTCGGGCGGGGCTCGATCTGATTTCTCGAGAAATGCCAGCTGCTTGGACTTTTTCTACGGGGGCTCCTGATTTTTTAATTATTTGGTTCAAATTAAAACCAAACAAGCAGATGCCACCGTGGAAGCCAAGTCAAATGGCACAGCGGCGTGAGTTTGCCCAGTGGCCCCCACGCCGCCCCTCCGGTTTGCACGCGGTGGCCAGGTGGAGATTTGGGGAGATAATGAGGCTGGAACCCAGAGCAAGACTTGCAGGCAACTGGGTCTCTGCTGGAAGACCGGCGCCAGATGTCCTGCGTGCTCGTGGTGTGAGGATGGGGCCCGGGGCAGGACTCGCTCTGCACCTGTGGTGCAGCAGGAGCTGACACGGGTGCAGGGGCAGGTCCTCCTCTCCTGACCCGCGCAGGCAATGCTTTCTTGCACTGGGGAGGCGTGAGTGCTGCCCGGGCAGGAACACGTGCGGCTTCACTGAACCCCAGGTGATGTCTGGAAAACTTGGTTACATCCTTTCTCAATAGAGATGGTAAAGTCTCGGTACATGGCTGTGCTGTATTGAATTCAGTTTCAGATGGGACTAGAACCAAAATGCAGAATCGATTTTTAAAAGATGGACGTCCCTTCTCTATAAAGAAGCTGCAGGGGGAGGGTGTAGCTCAGTCAGTGGTAGACTGCATGCTTAGCATGCATGAGGTTCTGGGTTCAGTCCCTAGGACCTCCATTAAAATAAATAAACCTAATTACCTCCCCCCTAAATAATTTAAATATAATTTTTATACTAAAGGACAACCCAAAAGTAGTGATCATTTACTACAACTAAAACTGTGGAGGTTAAAAAACCTCTCATTAGCACTATAATTTGTTTAGCAACATCACACTAAAATTTTGGAATTATTATCCACTAGTTACCATAAAGCAGTCCACTGAGGATTTTGATGAATGTTTTAAAGTGCACAATATTGACTACCAAGCTTTGGAGATTTGAAACTTGACCAGAACTACAGTAAGTGTTATAGTATAAAATAAAATAAAATTGAGGTAATATTATGCCAGTATAGTAAATCATGCTTTAACAAATCAGGAAAAGTCCTTGCAGAAAAAGGCAAGACTGAAGAACTAATAGAGAGCTTTCAATTTATAAAACTTTCAATGAATTATCATGCCAAACAGTGAGTGTTTAGATTAAAAAACAAGGAAGATTGTCCATCAATAGATGACTGGATAAAGATGTGGTATATTTATACAATGGAATACTACTCAGCCATAA